ACTACGAGAGATTATTTTATAATACCAAATCATGTTATAAGCTCATTTCTCTCATAAAGAAAAATAATTCTTACATGTTGCTAGCAACAAATTCATTCTTAGCTTCTTCTCTAATTCTTTATTGCCACTAATTCAATTTTCACCACATACTCAGAATAAGTGAGATAGCTGGGCTGGGGAATCCTGCACCAAACCACTCCAGGTAGTCTGGAGTCAGTACCTCGGAGCCCTGTCCTTGGCTCCTTTTATATGCTTTAACAGAGGCAACACTAGGCTCTCCCACGACATACACTTCTGCACCCAACTTATCTCTACACACACTCATCCATCTCCCGCTGGCCACCTCCCTGTACATGTCCTGCCCACAGCCACCCAGCACCTCCAAACCTGCCCTTCCTGTGTTCATCAGTTCACTGCCTGGTGCCACCTGGTCAGAAGGTTGGGATCCTCCTGGGCCTTCCCCCACACTCCCCACGCACCCAGTCAGCCCAATAGCACTGTTGCCTCACCACCTGACAGCTTCCTACCTCCCATCCTCACTCACCCACCAGCACAAAGAGCATGACCTCTCAACTATTCCACAGCTGCAGTGCTGGTCCCCCCAACCTATTCTTCACATGCAGTCACAGGAATATTGCTAAACGACAAACCTTATTTTTCCCTCCTTACCTCTAACCACTAGTTTTCTTTCCGTCTCTTTTGTTCTCTTCCTCCCTTGCACACAGGTCACTCCCAGTTCTCAAGATAAAATATGAACCCTGGCTCAGCGCCTGTGGCTCAAGTGGCTAAGACACCAGCCACATACACCTAAGGTGGCGGGTTCAAATCCAGCCCAGGCCTGCCAAACAACAATGATGGCTGCAACCCAAAAAAATTAGCCAGGCGTTGTGGCGGGTGCCTGTGGTCCCAGCTACTTGGGAGGCAGAGGCAGGAGACTCATTTGAACCTAGGAGTTGGAGATTGCTGTGAGTTGTGATGCCACAGCACTCTACCCAGGGGAACAACTTGAGGCTCTGTCTCAAAAAAATAAAATAAAATAAAATATGAACACCCTAAAATGGTAAAAGGTATGTAGCCTAGCCCCTAGCCTCACCTGCTGCTTTTCCCTGCTGACTCCCAAGTTCTCACACAACATACCTTCTCCAGCCTTCAGAGTGATCCCTGAGGTTAGATGATTTTCCCCATCTCTCTCTTTGGGAAATTTCTGTTTGTCTTTTACATCTTAGGTTAGCTCATCAGCAGGCTGATTCGAGTTTGTTTCTTTCTTTTTGAGACGGGAGCCTCAAGCTGTCCCCCTGGGTAGAGTGCCATGGCATCTCAGCTCACTGCAACCTCCAACTCCTGGGCCCAAGCGAGTCTCCTGCCTCAGCCTCCCAAGTAGCTGGGACCACAGGCGCCCAGCTGGTTGCAGCCTTCATTGTTGTTT